CAACCAAGGTAACCCCCCCCCCCTCTCCTCCTAGAGCACCATTGTGTTCTTTGTAACCAAATATCTCTCAGAGGGGCGTGGGGAGGGGCTCCTTATTTTCATCTAAAGTAACAGACAGAGAATCAGCACTTTTGAAACAGGTCTGAAACAGAGGGGATTATGGGTAATGCTGCAATGATCTGTTTGGTGTTTGGAGACAAACACTTCAGAGACATGTTTTGTATACATCTGAGACCTGTAATATATTGATGAAAAACAGTATGATAGGGGACCTTTAAGTCTGTGCTTCTTCCAGCGGTCGGACAGAAGAGCACACAAGAGGACATCAGCCTGATGCATGCTGGGTAGTGGAATAGCCTGAGGTCGTAGCTGGGTTAGCTTACTGTAGCTTCCAATCTGAAAACTATACTGACCTTTTTACTTTTCTCAGACACACTTTACTTTGACTAAATCCAATATTACATTTTCTTTTATTACGATACCTTTTTTATTTCTTTTTATGACATACTATATTATGACATTTTTTTTCGACCTACAACACTATGAAACTTTTTTTGACATGTACATAATGACATTTTCCATCATTTTAGACATTTTTTAGCCTACTATACTGTGACTTTTTGTCGTGTATGCATGTGTGGTGCATATTCTGGTTGGAAAAAAGTCAGAACATGTTTTACTGAAATAGTCATCTATACCTAGATTAACGACAGAATAAAAGCCACATTTGTAGTTGTAGAGTTTGTGCATGATAAGTATCCCGGGGAGTGGGATTTAAATATTTGAAATCAGGCAGCAGGGTAGCAATTAGTAACACATCTTTGTATGGACCACCCGATGTAAGAAGAGAACTCATACATGATGTGATAACGTGTGAATATTGGAGGCTCTTTTGTCATAACTTTCATTATTCATGCTTAAACTTTGTTTCTTCATTTGTCTTTTTCATTTAGTCATGAGCTGCAGGTGGCATTTAAAAAGCTATTAAATGTGGTTACGTAATCCATGCAGAGACGAACAAATAAATGCAAATCAGTCCACCTCTTTAAACAATACATGAAGAACACTGAAGCTGAAGTGACTCATAAAGCGTTTTTTAAATGTCAACCCCCTCTGCTACTAAAGGTGACTGTGTCTTTCAAGTGGTGCCCCCCCCTCCCCCCAATACTTTGATAATTTATGAATTATATGATTCCTTAGTTGTTACTTGATGTCACCACATTTTTTATACCTGCAGGGGACGCTTTTCATAAAAGGATTGGCAAGATATAGATGGTTGACTTGGTCCATGTGGCTTTCTGTCGNAAATCAATACTTTGATAATTTATGAATTATATGATTCCTTAGTTGTTACTTGATGTCACCACATTTTTTATACCTGCAGGGGACGCTTTCCATAAAAGGATTGGCAAGATATAGATGGTTGACTTGGTCCATGTGGCTTTCTGTCGTCCATCTTGGTTTAGAGAGATGCATCATGCACTTACACTGACTTTCCACTGAGGGGCAGTGTATGGGATAATAGGGTCCTATGTAGTGGCTGATGGTGCAACTATGCAAAAAAAAACAATGCATATACAAGAAAACACCTTTTGAAAAGCTTTCCACTATAATTATTCTGTATTTCTGCAGGGAGCCGCAGCAACACTCCGTCCCGTACCACTACTACGAGCCGCGGGGTCCAGACGAGTGCGCCATGTACATCTCCCATGAGCGCGAGCGGCGGGGCAGCCACCACCGCTTCATCACGGAGAAGAGGGTCTTTGCTAAGTGGGCTCGGACTTTTGACATCAAATTCTACCAGCCCGACTGGACACCCGCTCCTCTCCCAGCCAACCAGACTCTAGAAGCCACAGCCACCGCGGCGCCCCTGGTACCCCAGAAGACGTGAGCTGTGTTGGGAGGGAGAAAAATACTTGAGAGGTTCATCTGGGAAAAAGACTAAAGATGGGGAAGTGTCCTGCTGGATGTTTGGTGCGAACATTTCTCCAGCTCCAGCAGTGTGTTCGGTTTACTGAGTTCAAAGTTGTACATCCATTGTACAACCTTGTAAAGTGATTTTATACAAAGACAAACATCATTACACACTCTCAATGCATGCAGTGTCTTACTGTGGATCCTCCTCGTGTGTGTGTGTGTGTGTGTGTGTGTGTGTGTGTGTGTGTGTGTGTGTGTGTGTGTGTGGGTGTGTGTGTCTGTGTGTGTGTGTATGTGTGTGTGTGTATAGGTGGGGTGGGGGGGTGTGTGTGTGTGTGTGTGTGTACCTGAGGGATCGT